GACTTAGTTGTGATTTAGGGTTTTAGGTTATGAGTTGCGATTACGGGATATACTGTGGACGGTTTAGTGTTCCGATATATTAATATATTCGTGTTTGGAATTTGAAAAAAAAATACGCGTTAATACGAATGGCGCTATGTAAACGCATTGCTATTTACGTAATCGCATTGCGATTTTCCAAATTCGCGTTGCGATTTACGTGTTCGCATTGCGAATTTGGGAAATCGCAATGCGATAGTCAGAATCGCGTTGCGAATCTAAAAACTGATTTGCGATACCGGAGATCGCGTTGCGAATTATCGATCGCATTACGATTTAGTTGGTCATTTTGGCAAATCCAAAAAAAGTTGATTAAAATCATATATTATAAGATATTTTTGGTCACTGAGATTATTTTCTCTTTATTTTATGCACATAACAAACATTTGTTTTGATTTTGATTGTTGCAGCACCATTCTTAGTTGCTGTGAGGACGGGACGATATGGCGATGGGATGCTGTCCAGACCAACTAATCATTCCCCACTAAGTCAGCCGGAACAACATTATCAAAGCTTTTTTAAACATGCTGCTGTTAATCGAGTGCTATTATGTAGGAAACTAGCAGAAAAACACAGACATGTTAAACTGCTTTGTCTTGACTTTCCATTTTATGGGAAGTTTCGGCCCAAAGTTGATGTCTTGAATCTAATGCATTGGCCTCATCGACCTGTTGGATATGATCCATTAACGACCTTCCAAATCCATAGCAATCTAATCATGTTGGACATATACTCCTATCCATTATGGTTCCTGATGAATGTTATACCAAAGTTCATAAGATTATTTTGCCTAGGTACCCTACTTGGAACCATTCCATGTTTTTCAGATCCAATACAAATTAGGCGATATATCAGCTTCAAACCAATAAGAAATTGGCGTAACAGAAACTTAAATATAATCAAATTGTCATTATTTCTTATGATTGCTTTACAAGATATAATGATTTCCCTTTGACCAGCTGATGTTGATTTATAGAGCTTTCTTTTGACATTTAAGGTGATGTTACAGTTTTCAGGCTTTCATTCATATATTCAAATTGTAGTTAAACATAACTTTCATACTAGCTTTGAAGTATAATTTCTATCATGTCGATGGATACTTTACTAATTATATATAAGCTCCATGCTTAAAGTTTTCTCCAATGAAGGCTCCCTTTACATGCATTTACATATGCCTTCATGTGGAGGCAAAGCTAAGTAACACCAAACAAATAATTCCCTTTATTGTTACTATATTTTATAACTCTGATCTCTCACCTTCTCAGCTTCAAAACCAAGCGAAAACCTCCCAACTCAACAATAACAAAGTCCCATGTCCTTTTCTCTCCAACAACCTTTTTTTTTTTTTTTTAAAATGAACTTCTAGAGAAACCCTCCTGCTTCCTAGCAATGTTAGGTAATTAGTGAAAGCCACAGTTCCATAAAAAAACACAGCCTTTCAAAACCCTCCATTTTTACACCCATTTCCCCCTTGGGTTCTTTCCTTTCTCAGTTCTTCTCACCTCTAAAAACTGTGTGAGAAGAGAAGAAATATAGAGCAATGCAGCTGCATGTGTCACCGAGTTTAAGACATGTAACGTTGATGCCGGGGAAAGATGTAAGAGAATTCATCAAAGTCAGAGTTGGTCCACGGTGGGCTTCCTATCGAATGCTTTTTTATTCGCTTCTCTTCTTCGCTTTCCTTGTTCGATTCACCTTTGTTTTGTCCACTGTTGATGCCATTGATGGTGATCATTCCAAGTGCTCCAACATCGGTAATTATCTTTTTCTTTTACAATTATATTTTTCGTGTTATATGACATGCTAAATAACCAAACATTATATTTATGGCAGGTTGCTTGGGAAAAAGAATAGGGCCAAAGATCTTGGGAAGGAGGATTCAGTCGCATGTAAATTCATGTGCTCTAGTTATTTCATTAAATATTTCTCTTATTTTCGTTAAATGTATTGTGGGTTTTATATGTGAAGGTTCCAGAGGTGATATACCGAATATTAGATGAACCAGTAGGGGAAGATGAAGTACAAGGGAAATCTGATTTACCACAGACATTACAAGATTTCATGGCTCAAATCAAAGAAAGCAGATCTGATGCTAAATCCTTTGCTCTAAAGCTCAGACAAATGGTAACTGTTAGATAACATTGAATCTAGAGTTGTATAAAGGTTGAACTAACCGTGTGATTCGATAAGTTATACGGTCCAAATTTTAGGTTGATTATTTTAAATGAGTTTACCTAATTAATCTATCAATATTTTTTATATTTAATTAATATTAAGGGTAAACTAAGTTCATGATAACTAAAATTTTACAGTATTTTTTATTTTGGTCACCAAAATTGATTTTTTTTATTAGAACTATTGTCATTAAAGAAAAAAATTTCGACCACTAGATTGTTAAAACATTAATGACACCTAAGGCATGCTCAAATGCCAACACCATCTGAGTCAGTATACCTATATGTGAAATTAATTTATTAGAAAACGATATGTGAGCAGGCTAACTCAGTCTACGTTGATATATGAACATGTCACGTTAATTATCATTAATGACTTTGTAGTTCATTTATCAAAAAATAATCTTTTTAACGACAGTAATTAATGAATATTTTTATTTTTGATAACTAAAATAAAACATCTTAAAATCAATGATCATTAGTGTATTTTGTTTTAAAATTTAGTATCTCTAATATTTTATTATTATTTAATAGTGAAATAGATTTTCGAATCACCAACTATAGCTCATAAATAATTTGACATATATTTTTTCAGGTACTTCTCCTTGAACAAAGAGCGAGAAAAGCCAAAATCCAAGAATATTTGTACCGACACGTAGCATCAAGCTGCATACCAAAACAGTTGCATTGCCTAGCACTAAAGCTAGCCAATGAACACTCTAACAATGCCGCTGCTCGCCTCCAGCTCCCCTCGGCCGAGCTCGTCCCCGCCCTCATCGACAACTCTTACTTCCACTTCGTCTTGGCGTCTGACAATGTGCTCGCCGCCTCGGTTGTCGCAACATCCCTTGTTAAAAACGCTTTGCGCCCCTCAAAATTTCGTGCTACACGTAATAACCGATAGGAAAACGTACGCCCCGATGCGGGCCTGGTTCTCGTTGCATTCATTAGCTCCTGCTGTCATTGAGGTCAAGGCATTGCATCAGTTCGATTGGCTTTCGAAAGGAAAGATTCCCGTTCTGGAAGCCATGGAAAAAGATCAACGAGTAAGGTCCAAGTTCAGAGGGGGCTCATCAGCAATAGTAGCAAATAACACCGAGAAGCCTCAAGTCATTGCGGCAAAACTACAAGCACTTAGTCCTAAATACAACTCCATGATGAACCACATTCGCATACATTTACCCGAGGTAATACACAATTCATGTACAAGACACGTACTCGTATTGTATCCCGACATTTTCTTAAGCTCCGTTTCTGTTTTTCCAGCTGTTTCCCAGCCTGAACAAGGTAGTCTTCTTGGACGATGATATCGTGATACAAACCGATCTTTCGCCTCTGTGGGACGTCGACATGAAATGGAAAGTAAATGGAGCAGTGGAGACATGTAGAGGAGAAGATTCATTAGTGATGTCGAAGAGATTCAAGAGCTATCTCAACTTCTCACATCCTCTGATTGCAAACAGTTTTGATCCTAATGAATGTGCATGGGCTTACGGTATGAACATATTCGACCTCAAGGCTTGGAGGAAGTCGAACATTACTCGCACATATTATCATTGGCTCGAACAGGTAAGCTCATTAATCATTCATCTAGCTTGCATGTGACGGCACTATGGTGACCTGAGTAATTCAATTGGTGCTGCAGAACTTGAAATCGGACCTGAGTTTATGGCAGCTGGGAACATTACCACCCGGACTGATAGCATTCCGTGGTCAAGTTCGAGTTATCGATCCGTTTTGGCACATGTTGGGATTGGGTTACCAAGAGAATACAACTTTATCCGATGCCGAGACGGCTGGCGTTATCCATTTCAATGGCAGAGCTAAGCCTTGGCTTGACATTGCTTTCCCTCAACTTCGACCATTGTGGGCTAAGTACATTAATTTCTCGGATAAATTCATCAAGGGTTGTCACATTCGGGCACCGTGAAAACGAGGGGTTTTGAGAGATTTCAGTGAGATGTAATGATGACGAAAATACATGTTTGTATATGAGGAACACATTCATGGCCTTCAATACAGATTTTCAAAAGAGGGGCCAAGTACATGTTTGTAGTGACCAAAATATAATAAATCAATAATATAAATGATCAAAATATAATAAATCAATAATATAAATGACCAAAACAAAAAATTTAAAATCAGTGACGAAAAGTTAAAACAAAAAGTACCATTTTAATAGTTTACCCTAGGGTACGTTTGGTTCACGGAATGTAAGATTACTAGTGAGAATAAAATATTACCAAGAAATAGGATTATTAGAATGTATATTTGACCAAATTGTCCTTATTATATATTTGTTTTTTTAACAAGTTGAAAAATATTTATATATTTTCTTTAAAAAAATTAAATTCATAAAATTTATATAATTTTTTTACAAAATTGAAAATATAAAAAGGTTTAATGAAAGGATAAAATTTTATTTTAACCCCTAAACTTCATATAAAATTTTAATTTTAATTTTTTTTTTGTAAATCTAAAATAATTTAAAGATAAATTTGTAATTTAACATTCGTAGAATTTGTATTATTCAATGACAGAATAAGGATATTTTTGAAAGAACAAAAATTAAAGGCATTTTAGTCCAAAACGCCGGTAATCCAACAATATCTAAGAAAAGGGAAGAAATGACATTCCCGGTAATATACCCAAAACGAGGGAATGTAGATTCCATTTCTATGAGAATCTCACATCCCCAACCAAACACACCCTTAAATTTATTGAATAATTGGCGCTAAAGTGACAAAACTATCCTTAAAATTGGATATCCTTCTGGTGGTCAGTAGTTTCTAGTGCTTCAACGGATATAAACTGAAACACAAAGAAACCTTACTCTTATCTCCAACTTAACACTGCTACTCTTCTTCAATCCTCAAATTCTTCATGAAATTGCCGCATTTAGCCAGCTTAAATGGAATCCTTGATACCCTTCCCACGATCCCAAAGCTTCCCACCCTCCAAAGAACCCGAAAAACATCGAAAATCATCGGGTTTCTCGACAAGAACACTTCAAACTTTCATGAACAACTACCACTACAAACTACAAGAAGGACGGCATTGGCCCTTGCCTCCATTGCTCTTGTTGGAACTTCTAGCAATGGTATCTCCCTCGCTGAAGATAACGGTTATTGGATTACCGATCTTTTGTCCGTCCCTTCAGTCGAAAATAGTAAGCTTTCTTAGACCATTTGCTCATTCTTGCTGGTGTTCATTGCTTGCAATACAACAGTTCTCTGATATGAATTGCAATGTGATTCCGTTTTTTTCCTCCAATGACTGAAGATATTACGAACCCGGAGACCGGAACTCGATCTTTCATCAAGACGGGAGTATATGTGGCTAATCTTAACACCAAGAACCGGATGTATAGGCTCAAGAAATATGCATTTGATCTGCCTGCAATGGCGGATTTGATTGGACCAGACACTTTGAATTATGTTAAGAAGTATTTGAGACTTAAATCTACCGTTATGTACTATGATTTCGACAAACTTATCTCTGCAGCAGCAGTGGATGATAAGCAACCACTCATTACTTTGGCCAACAGATTATTTGACAGTTTTGAAAAGGTAAAAGAATCAATCTCTGAATCAATCTTTGCAGAAAAATGAACGTTTAATATCAGGCTAAGATTGCAAAAGAATCAATCTTTGACAGTTTTGAAAAGGTAAAAGAATCAATCTCTGAATCAATCTTTGCAGAAAAATGAACGTTTAATATCAGGCTAAGATTGTAAACGCTTTCCGATTTTGTTGGCAGCTCGAAGATGCGTAATTTTCCCCAGACCGAATCATGTTATCGAGACACAAAAGTTATTCTCCAAGAGGTCATGGATCGAATGGCCTAAATATGCAGCATTTTTCTTTATCAAATATTGGGAAAATTCTATATGCTTAACATTGATGCAGGGAACTTGTCCTTGAGTACATTAGCATTTATGAAACGGGAAAAACAAAGATGATTGTGTCTGATTTCAATTTGATGACAGGAATCAATTTCAGTAGATTACCATGTTATCCCAATATTCTATTTTTGTTAAAGTAATCATGTCCGATACATATTTTCCCAATGTGTCCGATACATACCTGAGTCCAAGTAACAAAGGAAACAAGAATCCAGGTCTGAATTGCAGATAATCAACCAGGCATTGCTTCTTCTATCTGGAAAAAATGTTTCTGACTACACATATTCTTGCAGGGTCTATCTCATGTTGCAATATCATATAAAAAGTTTTCATCATGCCCAGATCATCATGTTCTTAGCGTTTTTCTGCGTCAATTTGTTTCACATTCATTCAGATTTTTTGCCAACTCCATCAGCAGAAGTATCAAAATGCAAAGGAGTTCGAGGAATTCAGATCTCGAGAACCACATCGTTACTTAGGTATGTCTCTATTCTTCTCCAATCTGCATCTTCTGGTAGTTCAAGCCTCCTTACGTATCCATATTCCCACCAATTTCCGCTTCTCCAATCTTTTTTCTGAGATTCCCTTTGCAGCAGCTTTAGTTGGCCAAAGATTTCAACAATTTTTCCCTTTTCAACACGGATTTGTACGTTATTCGTTTTCCCTATTCCTGGTTTAATCCATCAAAACATCATTTGATCAGTCTGGAAAAAGATAAACAACCACTAAACCTATGAAATCCCTTGAAACACAATGTTCCTTGTTTTACAAGCCAATTAGGGTTCATATCTATCTTTATGACCAATAAAACATCACCGGCCAGGCTAAAAAAATAAACTACTAAACCTACGTGATGCCATAATATCAACTCTTTCAAAGGATTCTCCATCACTATCTCCACCTTATTTTTCCTGTTTCTGGAACCAAAACTGTTCTGTAAACGAGGTTCCTTGTTTTACAAGGCACGCACAGCTTCCAACTTAGGGTTCATGTCTACCTTTATGAACATTAAATTTGTATTCAATGTTTGGAATTCTTAAAAGGGTGCTTGGAAAAGAACACTTACCTGGAAGTTTTGCTTTAAGAACATATGCCTGGTCTGTCTGAAACCAATCAACCGAGCTCTTGCTGGAGTTCCTTAGATTTGATAATAAGCTATCTGATTCAAAGTCCCACAGTGGAAAAGCATCTGATGGATCAAAGAATTTTTCAAACAAAAGTGGACTAAGCAATGATCCTTCCCCAAATACCTTATGCAATGTTGGATTTCCCTGGGAGAGTAGCCTCTTGAATTTGTCTTCGGCTAATGAAACACACCATTTGTGAGGGGGTTGATCTTCTGTTTGAACTTCAAGTTTAAGACAACTAGTCATTGAAAGACTACAAAACCAAACAACAAAAAAACTATGATTTTCAGAGTTATCCTGCGAGAGAGTTTAGTGAGAATTTGGCATCTTATAGTCTGAATGAGAGTCTTTTTGATAAAGCAGTGGACAGATTCCCAGGGAACATTTTGAAGAGTGTAAAGTAAAAAAAGAAAGAAACGGAATCATTCTCTTCTGGAAATTGAGCACCGATGAGAAGAAACTTTGACTCTTCATTTGTCCTAAAGTATCCATATTTGATATTGCACTGTGATTTTCTAAATTAAAGGTGTGTGAAAAGAATATTTTTTTATCTAGATTCGACGTAAAATATTACATCTCTCTACTTATTTCTGAATATATGTCGAACACCGAAGAATATGAAAACCGAAGCAACTTAAAAGTACTTCTTTCAATCTAATGGATGCCAGCTGCTTAGTGGTTTTTGGCATCTCTTAGAGCTGCTTTTCCTAAAATAGAAGAATTGTTATCTTCCTTTTCCTTCATAGATGCTTGAATTTTTAGCTGTGGAAATGCAGCAGCCGCTTTGCATATTGGGATATAAGCCACATAAACAATGCATTTCCTTGAGTTAGATGCTCAATCTCTGAATCATTTGATAGTTCGTTGGTTTTTTATTCATTGCCCTTATGTTGCAGTTCCTTCAATGAATATATAAAGATTATCTGATCTCCTGGTTTGCATGTTTCAGCCATCCCAGACAAAAACGCAGCAATAAGTAAACATTAAATAGAATAGAAAGAATTTTAATTAATAGTTGAAATTCATATTATTATCTTACAATTTTGATTCAGCCATTAAATTAAAACTTTTTATGTCAATCCCTTTCCATCTTTCAGTCCTACCAAGCGGGGTTTTAAGTAATCCGAAGCGGGGCGCAGCGGTTGATGTTGTGTCAAGAAGGGAAGAAAATGGTATTATCATTCACTTGATAAAGAATCATATACCGAAATTTTCTTCCCTCCAAGGTAAGGTGGATTCTAACAACACTACCCTGTTAAATATTCTTCTGACATATATTGTCTCAGTACTAAGTTTCAGTATATAATGTGGCAAGGTAAATATTTGCTTGAAAAAGGTAAGAACATCGTACCTTTTCCGAATGAACAAATATTAACTATTCTCATCTGAACTCGAATCAGAACTAGAATCATCCACCCTTTGCTGAGAAATTGCATTAGCAAGCTTCTGACAAGGATCAGGACGTGGTGGTAGTGCAGCAGGAGGACGAGAAAGCAGCGGTGCAGCACGAGGACCAGGAGAAGGAGGCGGTGGTGCAGCAGGAGGTCCAGGGGAAGGCGAAGGTGGTTCGGCAAGAGGACCTGGAGAAGGTGGTTCGGCAAGAGGATCTGGAGAAGGTGATTCGGCACGAGGATCTGGAAAAGGTGTTGCGGCAGGAGGATCAGGAGAAGGTGGTGCGGCACGAGGATCAGGAAAAGGTGGTGCTACAGGAGGATCAGGAGAAGGTGGTGTAGCATGAGGATCAGGTGAAGGTGGTTCGGCACGAGGATCAGGAAAAGGTGGTGTGGCACGAGGATCAGGAAAAGGTGGTGCGCCACGAGGATCAGGTGAAGGTGGTGCGCCACGAGGATCAGGAAAAGGTGGTGTGGCACGAGGATCAGGAGAAGGTGGTGCAGCACGAGCACAGAGGTAGATACATTGGACCCCTGCTTTTTAGTGGTGGCTTAATAGGGCAATTTTACCTCTTGCACACCTTATCCAAATAACCAAAAATCTCGAACAATGGAAAACAATCGCAAGCCCTCATCCTTTTTCACATTACCATGAAAGTATCGCCGGTGCTCTTCACTAAATCCATTACTTTCTTCTCCTCCTCAGAAAAGGTGGTGCGCCACGAGGATCAGGTGAAGGTGGTGCGCCACGAGGATCAGGAAAAGGTGGTGTGGCACGAGGATCAGGAGAAGGTGGTGCAGCACGAGACTCAGAGGTAGATGATACATTGGACCCCTGCTTTTTAGGTGGTGGCTTAATAGGGCAATTTTTAACCTCTTTGCACACCTTATCCAAAATAACCAAAAAATCTCGAACAATGGAAAACAATCGCAAGCCCTCATCCTTTTTCACATTACCATGAAAGTAATCGCCGGTGCTCTTCACTAAATCCATTACTTTCTTCTCCTCCTCAAGCAACGACATGACATCCGGCTCAGCATTATGCACAAAACTCTTTAGTGTGTCGTGAAAACCACTTTTTTCGTCGCTATGCTTCATCTCCGTGTTCAAGAAATTACGTGCTTTCACCATTGTTTGTCCAATTCTGTCAACAGTTGCTGTTATGTTTTCAGCATCAAGAGCAGCAGCTTTCTTGACATATTCAAGCTCATTACTCAGATTGAAAACCTTCTGGAGACCAAGGCTGCGGTAATGCTCTTCTTCATCGGGGGAAGCATCCTCAAGAAGATCTTCGGATTTTATGCTACTAAAACTTTTGCTTTCTCTTGCAACCCGGGCAGCTCTCAAACCTTCAGTGCGTGTTATTTCTTGAACCACAAAGTGCAATAGTGTTGTCTTACCATCTATTCCTTTGACATCTGATAACTTCAAAAGTGTGTCAAGTTTGAAAGCTTGTGCACCGCCACGGAATGTCCCGTCATTCATGCGATTTCCGGTTTTAAGGACAGCTTCTAAGAGCTTGAAGAAAAGACGGCTGCTTTTAAGTTCCTTGCAAGCAGACTGAAAAAAACAGGAAAGGCATACTTTGTATGAATTATCAAACCATATTTATCATGCAAGTCATACAGTTTAAAATATAATGACCCACCTCTAATGTTTGAAAGGATTCTCTAGTAGCGGTAAGATCATCATGAAGAGTGCACATAAACAGCAGTGTTTCCATCTTTTTATAAGCATGAGGGATGTCAACCAAGACTTTCAGGAACCGCTCAGCAGGCCCCAGTTGAGTCATTGTACCAGTGAACAGTCTAAGTTTGAGTTCTTCCTCTTCTGTCGGTGCCATCTTCAATAAATTTTGGAGAAGCTCAGTGGGGAGCTCATTTGCTGATTTCAGAGAACTGGTTAGAATATCGAGATTGAAAACTGAACACATTAGTAATACTTTTCCAAATAACAATGAAATTGCAAGATGGTTAACAGCATAACGCCAATCAAACACATGATTGATCAAGAACATAAAGTCTGTTTAAGCTCTTGATTCGGAAACCTGCACATATGTTTCTCAGAAGCACATTCTTTTAAAGGATAAATAAGGTGGAAGAAAGCACCTTCAACAAGTGCATCAGAAACTTCTTCTGATGTCACATTCAATGCCTTCAAAAGGATTGATAAGTTTTGTGCTTTCTTGGGATCTAGGAGTTGAATAAACAGAGGTTCCTTCTTGGTTGGCTCCTTTTTATCACTCTTGCTCTTCTCAACGGGTGTATACCCAAACAGTGTTTCTATCTTCTCCTCATTGAACCTGCAAATTTAATACCAAGTATCCCATACTGATCCATTGGCATCAAGAGTAAAAGGAAACAAGAACAGAATAGTTACATACTGGAATGATCCCGCTTTAATCTGATTCCACACCTGTCCTTGCTCAGGGGTATTTGCAACTTTATCCCAAAAAAATGGCTTCAGTTTGGCTTTAGCCTCCCCTGAGCCACACCAGCACACCTTTGGAGGAGGTGGTGGAGGAGCACCAGCACCACCTTTTGGAGGAGGAGGTGGTGGAGGACCTGGTTTAGCACCTGGAGGTGCAGGTGGAGGAGGAGGTCGAGGGCCTGCAGAGGGAGGTGGTGGTGGAGGAGGAGCATTAGCTGGTGGGGCAGGAGGTTGAGGAGCATCTTTTCCAGGAGGTAATCCACCTGGAGCAGCCCTTCCTGGAGGCAACGGTAATTGCAAACCGGCATTGTCTGGTGGTGTCTCAGAAGATTCAGGTAAGGCATTGGCGACATTTCCATCTGATGCATTTCCATCCAAGGAGTTTTGTAGAGCATCAGATTCAATGCCATTAGTTGAAGCATTTTTCTGTAAGCTTGATTCTTGACTAGATCCAGCGGCAAGAGAAGAACCTGGAAAAAAAAGGAACTTCCCATAAAAGATTTGACAAAACTTCTAGAAGGCAACAGCATGTTGCAAAGGGAATTTCTACACCACCTGAGGCATCACTCCTCAAACTGAGAAGGGGGCTCTCATCATTTAATGTAGATCCAGAATCATTACGACAGCAGATAAATAGTACCACTAATGCAATAAGAGACGTTACTACTGCAGTGGCGACACAAGCAATAAAAATTATTGTATGGTCTTCCTCTTCCTCTTCTAATTCTTCTTCTATAGCAACAGCTTCAGTTTGTTTCTTATGTATAGTTAGTTGAGAAGTTGATAATTTGACACTTAGCGATAGATCTGTACTAGAATCAGGAGATTCATACGAAAGAGAGGGGGCTGGAGCCGAAGATCGGCGTGAGTTCGAGACAGAGTCTACTGCAAAGCTCTGACTAGTTAAACCACTCCTAGAAACCTCACACCAGCGGATCAATGACTCAGAATAAGGGGGATAACAAGTCTTGAAGCCACTGTCTTTTCCAGTTTCTTGGAATAGAAGTTTATTCTTTCTTATGCAGACGGAAAGAGATCGCTTTAACTGGGGACGGAGAACGTTAATCAATTTCTGAAAACTTTCTTTGGCTAATGAGTGACTTCTTTTATAGATATCATTGGCTCTTCTTCGTGTTTCGTCCGAAAGATGTAACTTGGGATCTTCATAAGCTTCCTTCAGATATTGTTTGCAACTCGTCCATAACAGCTCAGCCTGTATGTAAACAACTTTATAAGATCAAACAATGCTGGAACAAAGGGAAGGAGGACTTAGTTGTTGCTTCTGCAACAAACAGAAACGACAAGCATGTTAATGTCCTAACATATTCACGGTGCAAATTACAAGCTTTATCATTATGAATTAAGATTTTCATTGCCTAAAAGACATTTTCCCTAATTATGTTATCAATATTCAATGCCACTGCCATCAGAAAATGGTAATAGCAGGCCTTAAAAACGATATGAAGCATGCTCCAAGACAATTCCAGTAGTTCGAACATGTAATGCCTCTTCCAGTTAAACATAACTAATGGGTAATCAATAGGGAAGTTACTGAAACTACATTATACATCTAAACAATAAAAGGTGCTGTCAACCATTTCCACACCAACAACAAAAGGCTTAAGCACTGTTTCAATGAACATCAAGTATTTTTTTTTTTAAATAAAGAAATCCACAATTGATTCCTATCCATGAACAAAACATTATTCAAACAAAACCAATTGCATTCAATGGACATTAAAGCAAACTAAACCAATCGCATAGCCAAACTGTTTACGTGCAGTGAGTTTATAGTAGACAAGTTGATTGAAGATAAGAGCAAACAAGTAGAGCAATCTCCTTTACCACATTATCATCAATCTGCCCGGTTGCTGGATCTAATAAGTGGTTAAGACATTCTTCTTCTTCATCCTTAGTGAAATCTAAGCTGACAGCAAATGATACAAAAAGCAGAACTACCAAAAACCCCCGACATTTTATTCTTGGGTGGAAGCCCATTTGTCCTTGTATCATCAGCATCATCACAAACACTTGCTTTTCATCTCATCGATAAACAGAACCCCCACCACCAACACAATTAAAAACCCTTCAAATTTCTATCAGCAAAAAGCTCAGTTCCTTGTAATGTTTAGCACCAACAATTCAATTGTCCCTCAAACGGAAACCTTAAAAATCTGCTATAAAAATAAGCAGATTTTCCTCCAAAACTTGATGAAATAATGAGACTTGGAATCAGAACTCCACACACCAAGCGAAACCAAAAGGAAATGGGATCAGGATCATATTTTGGTTTAAAAACAAAAACAATAGCTCAAAATCTTTTCTTTTTAATTTTGCCGGCCATTTGAATTGGTAATTCAAAGATCATAAAATTCGAAGAAAAAAGAGCAAAGATAGGATCCATCATTATATGACCAGATCCCATCAATGACAACTCATTCAAGGAAAAGAAACGTATATACATCGGCTGTAATAATGCATGGAAAAAGAAAGTTGATCAGGATAGTCTTGCCGTTAATTTGATCTTAGAATCAACGGATAAAATACAAAGTTTCCAAGGTGAAGGTTCCCTGCTATTAATTTTATTTTTAGTGCGTTCTTGGTTTGTTGGGGATTTTATTTTTATCTTGATTTTCGTGGGTATGAAAAGGGGCAAAAATGCATTTTGAAGAAGACATTTTGGGATTTAAAAGTCAGTAAGGATTCGTTACGACAGGTTATTCTTCTTTGCAAATTACTACTTGTTGATTTCATAGGATTTTTCTTTTTTTAACTATTGATTTTCTCTCTCAACATATTCTGATCAAATATGAGATATTATAGATTTTAAAAAAATAATATATATCTTATTATGCATTTTTTGTAACTGTATATCAACAATATAAAATTCAACGGGTCATCCAAATATCATATTTTCGGCAACAAATAAGATTTTAATTTTGTTAAACACTTCCTAAAATTATCATAAAATTATCAACATGAAGAAGGAAGACAAATTGAAATATTACATTCACGTTTGCATCTATCTATATATATATATATATATATATTGCATTCATGTTAAACTGACCTTATCCCATGTGTAATGAGATAAAGAGAGGTAGAATAGTAGATTACCCCAACGCCGATTGACAACAACTTTCGTGGAAGACTTCCGGCAATCAAAATTATGAATTGTCCACCATAGGACTCGATCCTGACTACAAGGTTAAGAGCCTTACACTCTATCAACTGAACTCTATCAACTGAACTGAACGGACAATTCATATTGCATTCATGTCATTAACAAAAAAAAGGGGTCACAACTCTTCTACTAAGCAAGTAGGAGATAATGATTTATTAGTAGATTATATTCACATTGAACAAAAAAAAACTAAACTACCTACTAAACTAAGACACTGTGAACAAACTACAATTCCACAAAAGACATTAAAACACCTTTCTTTCTCCTTCAACTAATGAGGACAACCAAAGCTAGAATTCGGACCTGTTCAATCTTAGAATCACATCGATGCAAAGCAAAAGGGGGAACTTGCCACCTTTCGGGAACTAAACTAATCAATCTAGATCTAGTCATCATCACCGCCAGCTGCCTTCGAGGCGCCTCCGGTTTTCTTGGGGGAGGAGGAGGTTGTGGATGTTGGGCATCACACCTCCATTGGCAATCGTTACATCTCCGAGAAGTTTACTCAGCTCTTCGTCGTTCCTAACAGCGAGTTGGATATGACGAGGCACAATTCGGGTTTTCTTGTTGTCTCTGGCTGCGTTTCCGGCAAGCTCAAGAACCTGAAACAAGCATACAATGATTACTAAAATTACGAAAAGAGAAAACGCCGATAATTCACTAATTTATTCTGATTTTTGTAATTAAAAGTATCAATTTTTCGCAAAAATCTAACTTCGAGAAAGAGTAGCAAACCTTTGTATGGAAATAAACCCTAACTTATAATTAGCTCCAGTAAAATGAAAGGCGTTAAGTTTAAAGATATAAAGCACAGATCCGAAAATTAAAATGCAAAATTTATAAGCATTTTATGAAACCCCTAATTTAGAACATAGATCCATATTCTTTTGAAAATGACGACTCCCAAAAAATGCTGCATAGTTATCACAACAACAAAATTTGAATAAAATAGTACTTTTTTCTCAGATATTAAAGGAAACCCAAATTAGGTTAAAACCAGATAAACAATTTAAAAAAACATACCTATTAATCACTAAGAATTTAAAACAAATTAAACCCAAATTTGGGGGGGGAGTGATTGTACCTCAGCCGCAAGATATTCAAGAACAGCGGCGAGATAAACCGGAGCTCCAGCTCCGACACGTTCGGCATATTTCCCAGCCTTAAGGAACCGAGCTATACGACCCACCGGAAACTGAAGCCCGGCCTTGCTACTCCTCGATGTCGCCTTCTTTGACGCCCCGGATCCAAGAGTCTTGCCCCGACCAGCCATTTTAGACTCGCAACGAAAACTATGAACTTCCCAAAATTATATATATGAAAATGAAAAGGTTGAACGCTTGGGAAGGAGAATGAGAGATCTAAGTGACAGTATATGGTTGTTTAGGTTTATATATAGTGGAGAACGTAAATGTACTAGCCAATGGAAAGAGAGGGCACGGATCGAGAAGGATAAACCGTAGGATTGTGAAGAAATGAACGGCTCCAATTTAAACCGAACACCGCTCGGCATTTTTGCTTTTGCAGATTTTAGTTGGTTAAAATTTGAGGGAAAATCAGTTTTCGTTTTTCTCTTTTGATTTGGGATTTTATTGGAACGAAGTAAAGTCTGAGCAACTTTTTATTAATCCTTTCCACTAATTATAACATACATCCTTAAATTATAATCTAAATTTAAATTGATTCCTATAATTACAAAATATTTTAATTGAATCCTTAAACTATATGTAGAATATCAACCAATACTATATTACACCAAATTACACCATCAAAAGAAAACTCAAATTCTGAAACTAAACATGGCTTTTTCTTTACACCCGGACTACATGTTACAAACACAAAGATCAAACCATTAAATTCAACACATTAATAAATAGAGTCAATTGTGTTGTTTATAAACTCATCTCTTCGATGTACAATTATCAGAATTTTAATTTTTCTTTACTCTAAGTTAACCCGAATATCACTTGTAGTGACTCGGAGTAAAGACTTTTAATGCTTTTTTATGTGTTTTATTTTAAGGATTCGTGTCAGTATTTGCACAATGTCCCTCATATAAGGTCATTTATGAGAACACAATTGACACACTTAATACAGAATGGTGGTTGCTCTATTAAACTCCTGCTTGTCATATAAGCATCATACTTAAAACAAGATCAAGTTTTTAAGTCATAAAGAGAATATGTTAAAGAGAGATCTTATCAATTCAATATGTTATATTAGACCTTGTAAGGGACTCCATGTACGTTAGTTGCGCGTTTATCTATAAATTTCTTCTTTTGAAAACCAAAAATCAACTAACTACGAGAAATGACAATAGCATACTCTTATAAGTATATATACACCAATATTTTTGAAATAAAGGATTATTTATTAAATCAATAATACATGTTCTTAGGGATGGACTGGGGGAGGAGGGTGGAGACAATCGCCATCTGAAAATTTTTAATTTATTATATATTTTATATTTTTCTATATATTTTCTTTTAAAATCTATTTTAAACATCTAAAATTTTATAAATTCATCCCATTCAAAATTTTAAAAATCTGTTGTCTAATATAAAATTTTACGTTTCATTTCGATAAAGCTATCATCAAAAGGTTTATTAACAAATAAGCAAATAAATTTTCTACAGAATTTCGTGTAAATATATTAAATAACAATCACAAAGAACATAGTACATACCCTAGCTCTAATGGAAGAAAGTATACAACATTTATTTCCACAAGTTTATTTCCTCATCCTGTTCGTTAATAAAGGTATTAGCCCAATATTAGTTTACACATGGGCTTGGTTTGAGTTGAGAATGTCGATTCATAAATTCCTAATATTTCCTATGATTATTATTGGTTAATAAAGAAAAGTTGATTTTTTTTTCTAATATTCTCAAAAGATTAATTTAATTTATAGTGATTGTAAATTTCATCGCTTAAATTTATTCTCACTTTTATTTTAGTGGTTAAAGTTTTTTTTTTAATTTAATTACCCAATTTTAGTAAAAAGGGATAAAAAAAATACGATACAAAAAGTTACGGAGAAAAGAAGAAAATATAAATATGACATGAAATTCATCTGATGAAATTTATCATTTTATTAAAAATATAAAATAAAGTTATTGTTTTTTCTTAAGATTTTTGTTTTTAATTTCGTTAATTGACGGCGGTTTTAATTTTAAAATTAACCTTCAATTGCCGAAATTCATTATTTTTCTATTATTTTTATATCATAATTTTATTTTCATTATTTTTAAATTTTTAATAATTTTATCTTTGTGACACGATTTCATCTCCTTTTATGATTTTTTTAATAATTTTTTTTAATAATTTTTAATATTTTTTATCGGTCTTTTGGGCTTTTTATTTTTTTAAGAAATAAATTTAATACCCTATTGACTGATCAGAATTAAATAATTTCCCATAAAAACACATAGTGAATTAGTGAAGATTGTTTTCCATTTTTGGAAAATATTTTATTATCTTTATGGAATGAAATAAATGGTCAATTAAACATGGGATGATTACTTAAATATAAGAATGTCACGTCATATTAAATCAGTCAAATGCTAAATGGTACATGCGTTCCTTAGCCACGTGTCTAGACCTTTGATTCTGCACTGCCATTTGTCCAAGGCTGTCAAATTCAACTGATTTTTATTCAAACGTCACATGTATGACACAGTTGTCGATTAATTTATTGAACTTTAATTTTTTTTAAAATATTGCATAAATCAAATTTTTATTAGATTTAAAAATAAAGGAATAATTTAAAAATATTTCAAGAGAAAAATCTTGAAATAGTTTTCAATCAGTGTTTATAGAAACACAATTAACTTAACGA